ACTAAGCATAATAAAAAATAATAAGAATAATTACAAAATGAAGTGAAAAATGATTATTCAAAGACGTGAAAAATGATTGTTCATGATCATTATTAATGATCATGCGGGGTTACAAAAATAAAGAAGGGGTATACAGACCCTAGGGTAAACCTACAAGTAAACAAGAATAGCTAGATGACAAAGGAATTAACCAAAGCGTGAATTAATCCAAACAATTTACTTCTTAACATATGTTGAGGAAACAATCATGTCTATAAAGTATATAATTACTCCAATGTAAGTTCTAGAAAGAAACCTAGAAAAAGATGACTCTTTAAAACTAGAGATTTATTATATTCATAAGAGAAAATTAATAATATAAAGTGATTTTTCTTGTGTGAACACAATTTTAATATGTGAAACTGTCCACAGTTTATTCATAGGAATCACATGACATTTTTTCTTTCTCAGTGACATTAGTAGTACATTGAATTGTGGACAAGTTAAGATTTGATGTCAAAGAATCTCTTTTAAACTTGACAAGTATACATCATATATGCTTGCCTAGACTTAACCATAGCATTTTCTTCTCCAAAATCTTATAAAAATTCATTCATATGACACATCATAACGTATGAAATCTCTAGCCAGTCAAGCTTTGAAGATTCTCGCCTTGTCACTTGCAGGTTTGTTCTTCAACTTGTACATCCAATTACTTAGTTTGATGTCTAGAAAACTTAACTAGCTACCAAGTCTTGATATCATTCGGGTACTCCATTTCACGTTCCATAGTAGCATTTCACTCAAATATATAAACTGAAGCTTGAACTTCTATGTACAAAAAAGGTTAACTTCTTTCAAAATCAAGGCAATGCCATCAGCATCTTCTATATCAATGTCACAATCTTCAGGAATGGATGAATCAACCCATACACCGTACCTGACATTAACTCTATTATCCCAATTTGATGATCTTCTAGTAGATGACTCTCGTCTATCTCTATTGTCTGATGCAGATTTGTGAGTCTCATCAACAATAACATGCTTCTCTAGTTCTTGTTACTCAAAAATTTGCTCCATTTATACCGGTGCTTCTACTTGTATCATATCATTAATCACATAATGATTAAACTTCTCCACAACTACATCCATGAATAGATATTTTTCCTTGTCAATATGCGAAGTATTAAAATTCTTCCACTCTTTTGATTATCTAGATTTATTGAAAAAATCATTCTTACTAACAATAATTTTATTGCATACTAGATCGATTATCCTATAATACTTCACACCACTAGCATATCCAAGAAAATGTCAATTCTTAAATGTGGGATCTAACTTACTGATCTACGCGTGTCACGTGTCTTGTTTGTGCCGCGTCAACTATCTGCATGTCCTATCAATGTCTATATATACGTTTTTTGTTCCTCGCTATTTGCGTCGCATGTTCGTCATGTGTCAGTCCCTCGCATGTCATACGTCTACATGATCTGTCCATGTCATTTCACCTATCGGCGTGACCGTCATATGTTAGTTTTCCACGCGTTCACGTGTCTCCGCGGGGTTGACGTGACACCGCAATGATTACGCATCATCGAGCAAAACTAATATGTTGCCGCACTGATTTGATGTATTGCAGCGCATGAGTCAATATGTGTTGATGCATGATTAACACGCCCGTTTGCATTCACGTTTGACTTTACTTGGTGCATAGGGTTGGTTTTCTACGCCTCATCACTCGCAGTTGCTTCTGGTCGTCGTATGCCTTCGTCCAACTTGCAATTGATATCGTCATTTGATTCTAGTCTGGTATTAAATGCTCATCCGTCAAACCTGTCAACAATTTTATAATCGAATCAACAAATCTTTCTCAAAATTTGAATGTCGATTTGCTATCAAATTTCTATCGCTCGATCTAACTTTGCGATGCGTCTTGGTGCGTTGATTGAGTTTAATTGATGATAGTGGAATATCTATAATGCCATGTTAGCATCCGTGTGCTAGTTGAATGTGTTAGTTGGGAGCTACACGTGATCGATCTATGTGCTTGTTAGTTAATGATTGAGCGTGCTAATTGCAATGTTAGTTGAGAATGACATATCAGCAATACTTGTGTTCATTAGATATATCCGTCATGTCAAAATCCACTAGAATGGATTGGATGGTGGAAAAAAAATCTCATGTTCATGTATGTGTTTGAAGTATCTATACAATGAAGATTAGAACCATTCAAGATATCTCATCGTCAAAATTTATGTTTTATCTTCGAGTGAGCTTCTCTTTAAATCCTAGTGTTACATCTTATCTTCTATCTTTACTGCAACAAAAATAATTGCGACTATTTTTACTCCTGCTTCGTTGTTGCTCCTCCTCGCCAATTAACAAGAATCTTGCAAGCACAAAAACAGTGAGAAAAAATGAACCGCACTACTACTACCTCCGCGATCACGCCACGGGTATCCGTAATTTGTACGATGCCAACTAATCGCATTGGATCCGTGAACAGTCCTAATTTCAAAAAAATATTTTTGAGCATCAAACAATCAATCACTCAACTCACTAATCATATAAAAATTTCCATTACGCTCTTACTTTTACGTCAGTCCAAAAATTTCAGCAAGCCTGAGCCCATGCAATTTCCTTGTGGAAACAAGAACTGTATAACTCCCAAAACCTTAATGTCTAGTGATCTCGTTTGTGGAATTGGTCTTTCGTAACGTCTTACTGAGTTTTTCGAGATCGCAAACCAAGAGCTCCCAATTTGATAGACAAATGGGTTGTTTGCTTTGATACAAATTGAAACAATAAATTACAAAGAATCAAACATTGAGTTTGTCAATTAGTAAACACAATAAGAAAGTGGTTCATCCCTTGGACTACATACACGAAAACTCAAACATGCACACTCTTTAATGATCATGAACTTTGGGCCAAAGAGTTTGGGTCGAAGGTGCTTCCGGGGTTACATAAGTGAAGCAAGGAGATTTTTATATCACATGGTAAATTGGCAAATAACCAAAAACAACTAGGTGACGAAGGAGTTATACAAAAACAAATACCCCAACAAATAACATCATTAGGTTATAAATCCAATTGAAATTTTTTCCAAATTTTGAAATATATTATGTAATCAAAATTTCAGTTTTTAAAATTTCCAAATACATTAAAAAGACAAATTAGTGATATAATTACTTATGTTATAAATTTCATGGGACAACCATTGATTATCAATTACTATAAACCATATATTTGTTGGAAAAGGAATAACATTGGTGTTTTTTAAGTTGACGTATATTTATTATGTGGATTAATAAAAAACATTTGCAAGTAAATTATGCACATGAAACTTTAATTATTTTTATTGAGATTTTACTTAAATGTATCTAATAGATTTTTGGTCACAACAAGTAATTCACATGCTTAAAAGAAGTGGAAATTTTTGAACCTTATATATTATCAAGTATTTTTAGATTACGTATTTTTTAATTTATGAAAATTTTATCTGATTGTTTCCAACTAAAATTTTAATTTAATTTTAATTTTTTATTTTAATTTTTAGTCATTTGATACCATAAATTTTTTTTAACCAATCATTATTCATTAAAAAAATCTCTTGAATTTTTTGAAAAAATTATTGATAAAAAAAATGTGAAATAAATTTAAATATTAAATTCTAATTATGGATGTAATTTTTTTTCAATATATATTTTAATCTACATTTAACAACTAAGCAAAATTGTGGATTGGAAAAAAAACTTTAACTAAGGTTAAGAATAATTCAAATATAATAATAGTAATTTAAATAGGTGGAAAATTTTGAATTTCTTTTAGACGTCATGAATTTATTGAAAGAAAATATTTTTATTTATGAAAGACTAATTATTATAGTTTTTATGATTATTTTTCATAATTATTTAACAATCATCTTATAATAAACTTATGTGTAACATTCATTGTTTATCATTTGTAACATTGTAGTGTTTTGTTATATGTATTAAAAGAGATGTAGTATGTTTTTAATATGTTGATTGAGTTATATTTGAAACATCATAAATTTCTAATTTTTAATTATATGCAATTATTATGAAAAATTGATCATTGATCTAATTGTAGGCATCATTGTATATTATGTATGTTAAGCTTACATTTTGCTACATTTTTTATGTATATAGTCATAACTAATATTCCATGCAGAATTTATTAGTGCACAAATTTAACCTATATCACACAAAACTTTAAAAAATATATTTTTCGTAACTAGAAATAATTATCATATTTAATCATTCATGTGAAAAATAATATAATGAGTACTATTTTTTATATTTAAGACAAATCAAAATAATTACTATGTCTACCATTTACAAGAGTAAATCTCTCTTTGAGATTACTTGAGTTTGAATTATAGCTTCTTCAATTGAGCCGAAGATTATCCAAGGACACGCGAAAACTGGAAAAAAAGTACTGATAATTTGTTTTTTGTAAAAAAAACATAAATTTCTATACAATTACAAGACAACCACTCTAATAAACGAGTTGTATCTTGGAAAAATCAAATGTCTTTTCCTCCGTAGGCCTTTGACTCACTATATTCGAGGGGAGTGCAGAGTGCTATAGTTTATGAAGTTTAAGTGTCATGGGAGGGAAAAACTGTATATTTTATATTTTTATTTTACTGCTTGAAGTATGATTACAGCAGAACATAGCACCAATGGCTGAACGTTTATGCCCCCAAAAAATAAAATATATAGGTATAAATCCTCAAATTTAGCATACGCTTTCTTCCGTATTTTGTCAATGTTGACAATCCAAATTCTCTATATGAATCCGTTTCCTATTTTTCCGTTTTCATAGCTTTCCAAGTGAAGAGGAAGGGGCAGAGAAATCTAAATATAAAATGGAGGAGACCAAAGAGCAGAAGGGCATGGACAGGATGAGCCAGGCGAATCCGTAATTCTCGCTCTCCCGGAGCCGCCTCTGCGGAGGCAGGAAAGGAGTCGAAGACTTGTAGGAAAGGAGACTGCATGCTGGCGTTGTTTGTCGATGGCTGGCTCGCTGCGTCTCGCACGAGCAAAGGGCGAGGAAGACTAATTTCCACCACAAATCCGCAGCCGAACGTGAAGCCTCGGTTGCCGCTTACGTCGAAAGTCGACGACGGCAGAGCAGCGAAAGAATCTCCCACGATCAATGATTCAGGGCGCCACAGGCGTCTCTGCGCGTCCCGGTCAATGGGACCAACAGCACGGATGCAGGCGAACATGGTCGGGAAGGAAGGACAGCGCAGCCTCGACGAGTCCCGATTCAGGACGCCGTCCCGGGGCGGGAACGGGCTGTCGCCGGTGCCCGGTCCCTGGGGTCCTCGCTCGCGCAGCGGACGACCGTCCGATGCGGCGATGGAACGGGAGCCCGAGAACTTTCCGTGCTCGGGCGGCCTGGCCAGACGATTCAATGACTCTCAGGAGCCGGCGGTAACATGCGGATGGACGGATGCGGTGCGCCGAGAGCCACGTTGCTTTTGCGGGAGGCGGGCGGTGGCGGGCCCGCCGGCGCGAGGTCGGAGGTCGGAGGTGGTCGCCGGACCGCGTTCCGAGTCCCGGGAAGGGGGAGGCGAACGTACCTCCATGCCGCGCGCTCTCGCCTGGAGAGCGCTCGCGGGCCAGGAAACGACTCGTCGTCGTCGTCGTCGTAGGCGAGAGCGCTTCTGGCCATACACCTCGCACTCGACGCTCGCCAATTCCACGGTACGTTTCCCCGGACTCGGCCGCCTGTTGCTTGCTCGTGCATCTGCATTTCCCCTCCACACAGTCGGCTGTGTCATCCGCCCTGTGCATGAGTCAGCTTGGTTCGCATGTTCACGCTGTCTTGACGAACATGAACGCCCGCTCCTGCGATGGAGTGCTCGATCCGAGCTGCCGTTTGCCTCGTCTGGGATTAGAGCTATAAATGCTGATTCTTTTCTGCGGCTGGCTGGTGTGAATGCTTTCTAGCTCTCTTGCGGACGCTGGTCGATGAATTGTTAGCTTGACGCAGGTGTGGAATTGCGCCAGTACTTACCGTCGCAGGGACTTTCGTCGGACAGGAATTGGATCAGGCAGAGGCTGCGTAGGAATCGAGACGGAGGCAGGATGACAACAGCCGTCGCGGGAAGGTTGCCTTTGCTGGGTTGCTCCGTCGTAGATGCATCGAAACGGACGATAGGTGGCAGGAATGGGAAGAAGGTAGTGAGGACGCGTTTGGCCGGCGACAGGGGACGTTGTGCTGGAAGAAGGCGAACTCTAGTGCTAGATAGCTCACTGACGAACGCCTGGTGTGAGTGGCGAATGAGTGCCAAGGTGTTTGCGCAATTTATGCCTGCAGTTGGAGGTGGAGAACACCACGGACCTGTCGTTGTAAATGATCTCGGAGGGCAATACGAGGACTCTTTTGAAGATGTCGACAAGGTTGCTCATCCCGTTCTTTTGTCTCTCGCAATTCTCGTTTGGGTTGGGAATCCTTCATACTTTCTAGATGGTTCCACTTTAAACGTTTGAGGTCAAGGTCGAGGTCGAACTCGGAATTCTAAGAGAATTTTTCAATTGAAGAATACAGGCGGATTTCAGAATCTTGTTCTTGCTGGGACTTCAAGTCCTTGTAAAACGTTATGCCGAAGGATCTCTGTTGTCTGTCTGGGAGAGCCCTTCACTGTAATAGGGATCACTGGTTGTGGTCACACGTGATTGTGAAGGCTCTTCGTTGTCCTTGGTGAAGTACGGAAGATAGTATCTGGCCTTCAGTAATATTTGATCATTTCTTTGCTCCGATATTAGCATCTGTGTGGTAATTTAAGTCGTGCGTAAATTTCCACGGAATCGATAGGTCACACATGTAGTATATCTACAGCGCCATTCGTTTCAAGCGAAATCAATACCCAGTTTGTGATCTTAGATTTAATGGATACTGCCGAACCAATCTGAATTTGCCTTTTGTGCAAGGACTGGTTATGTTCTGGTTTGGACTGGTGGAACAGATCAAAATGAAGTTCGCCCTACAGACAATCTACTAACGTCGAACGAACTTGAATATGCTGTAAAATAAAATAAACTTTCAGTAAAATAAGATACAATTTCAGACGCTCAAAGATAGAATAGTTTGTAAGAGTTGATGGCAGAATGCTAACTTTAGTGTTTTGTGTGGGAATTGAACTCTGATATGCAGCACCTGTTGGATTACTTCACATACAAGGCAGTCAGGACAGTCCTGGCACAACTATTCGAGATGAATCCTGCACAATATTCATGGTTATACTCGTAAGTTGGCGCCTCTTTGTAATTGCCTCTTCAGCTTCGAACACGGTGTATCCATTGAATTAGTGTTCTGTAATTATTTGATTTTTTATCATTTTATCTGTCAGGTCCAAGGAGGGCAGATGATCATCCTCACCGTCTGAAGGATACAGGCTTTTTGTTCTTCAGCTTTCACCCTTCAGAACCATAGGTGTAGTGCCTTCATACTCGTTGAACCATTTGAGTCCCCTAAATCTGACATCGTTGTTATGATAAATCTTCGGGTGTTTCGCAGGTTTGTTGTTAATAATAAACCGAAAGACAGTAAGGTGTTTCTCCAACTACTAGTGAAGGTATAGTCACCTACAATCAACTTTGTTTTTGAAACTGAAACTAGAAAAGTGGGTAGCATTGAACTTAGTGTTAAGTGTACTGTGGTTCACTGGTTTCTCCTTATTCGCAAAAACGAAGAGAAAAAACTCTGCTGACCTGTATCACTGAAACAGGAAAGGCAAGAGCTGGGTGAACGCGTTATGGTGACAAGACTGCACCTATTTAACAAATGGGTGAAGGTACGTTTTGTCAATGTTTGAAGCCTCCGTGACATACTTTTGAACAAGCATTTATACCCGTACACCGTTGCAAAGTCTTTTCTGTAAATTGTTGGAGCGGTGTGTGCCTTCGAGAGGAATCAGGCAACTAAGATATGCCAGTTTTTGTCTGCAGAAGTACAATCATGCCAAATTGCACAAAGCCATATCCGATGAGAACTTGGAGCTTTTGCGAGAACGATTAATCCAGACAGTGAGATTTCCATCTTCGAATGCCGATGATGCAGGAAAGCCCAATATTAGATGAAGGGTGTGTTAGACTCCTCTTTGTCTGAGGCTGAGCTCCTTCTTTTACCGATGTGGAGATCTTTTGTTTGTTCGACGAGACCTGTGCACCATATTGGTGCAGAATGATGAAAGCGGAGAGGTACCTCGTGAGTTTACCTGTGAGGTATGTGGTGTAGAAAACGAGTGGTAGACCTGTCCTGCAGGATGTACATATTTTACTTCGAGATTTTCTCTTGGAAGTTCAGTTGGCTCATTATATAAATTCATACCTTGTCACGCCTACCAGTGCCAAAACTGAGTAAGCTGTCCAGCAGGACACTCAACTGAAATCAATTCAGGTGGCTTTAACCCCGGGAAGAGAGCATGGATGTTCCGAAGGTGTACTCGGTTGTGATGTTATGAAAAATTCATTCCATAAGAAAACCTGTGAATGGAAAACTTCCTGTGATAGCCCGTAACTTGCATGTGCAAATGATCAGGAAGATAACTGGTTCGTAATGCTCTTGTTGTCACTTGTATTGCACTTTACGTTCTACACGATAGCCGTCAAGAGTACTGATAACGCTTTGACGACATGGAAGACACCCACTGTCTCTTATGAATGATATTGAAATGGCAAAAGGGGTATGGATTGAAGTAAGTCGGATGAGAAAGTGACAGGTGTAAAGGAAAGCTTAACATGGCGTATGTTGAAATTACCATCTGGCCAAAAGGGAACGAGAGACAGTGTTCACCACTTTCGCAAAGGATCTAGCGTACAGCCAATTAGTATTGGTGGTTCACACTCACCAGCAGAGCTCTCATGGATCTACAACTTGATTGGACTGTTCAAAGCGCACAAGCGACTGAAAAAGTCGAGGTCGCGGAATACGCCGTGGACGGTGAAACTTTCCACCACATTAGGATTGATGTAGAAACGGGAGAAATTGACTTCTCTGGACCAATCCTGACAGTCGTTAGTAGACAAGATATACTAGCATGGCTGATGATGCTTGGACCTTGTTATCTGCAGGCGTAAGATCCTATAAGAACTATCATCCAAATATTATTTGACGAACTCGTGAAAGTCAAAAGGCCGCTAAAATCTATGAATGGCTGATCGCAAACGAAGTATCATTTGGAGTTCATGACTCCGGAAAAACTCGTAATGGATCACAAAGATGTAAAATATGCTCTTTGCCACCTTAATATACGCCCGAAGTTAGTTAGTTTGGTCGGAAGGCGATCAAAGTCACCACCACTGTCTCTCATGCAATGTGTTAATCATCAGCAAGACATGAATTTATAGAGGAATCCCTGACATCTGTTTCTCGTAGAACTCACAACTGTGACAGCATCTATACTCTCAACATGGGCCTATTGTAGATGCTCTCATGTCTCAAAATATTGAGAAATATAAACATACTACAAAATCCTAGATATTGCATCAGAATCTTTGGTGGTCCCCTACATGCTGAGACTTCCAACGAATGAATGCTCGTAATGCTTTTCTCCACATGAACTTACATCAATCTCTAGTAGATCCAGAAGTGCTCTACACCTGAAAGTAACGAGAATGTGACTGATTTTTGTGATATTTGAAGATAGAGGGAATTGAATAACAATGATATGAGTAAATAAGCGTGGGAGTACTTCTGCTACTGCCATAAATCTAACTACTACAGTATTCTAGATTATCGCCAACAATCTACTTGCTTCTTCCATACTTGATACAAATCTGGCCTCATGCAATGCTACAACCGCTGAAAACAAAAAGTGAAAAATTTATCCTTTGATATTCTCTGCAATGCTCATACTTCAATCTTGAAAGAACACTAAAGGAAAATTAACTGTTGTGAACAAAGACCTACATTGAAATCAATGTATACTCACGCCGAAGAAACAAGATGTGTTGAATCATAAAAGATTTAATCTAGGACTGAAAGCACAGATTGTGAAATTGCGTGTCACTTAAATGAAGTGAGATGATGAGAAGAGAAATTTTCTTCACAAATTGAATATTATTGGATGATCCTAACAATTCAAGCCTAATTTGATATTATATCTTCCCTTAGCTTGTTACACTTGTTATGATGATTGATTTGGCATTATAATTATCATAGTAAAATTATTTATGTGTTGTATTGCTTATCTTCGGTATGAATATCTCATGTGGTTTGACAGGATATGAAAAATTATATACGTTTCCAAATATAGCTATAAGTTATGTGAACAATTGATTCAGTCATGTCGAACTTCACTTCGGTTAAGAATTAACCTCAAGTTTTAACTAAAAATAGCTATAAAGTCACAGGTATTGGGATATATATACTCCAGGATTTGTGTATTACACAGAACATTCAATACGATCTCACGCATGAACTTCTCCATTGTATTCCTTATCTTCCGTATGAATATCTCATGTGGATTTAATAGTATATAACAAATGATATACGTTTCCAAATATAGCTATAAGTTTTGTGAGCAATTGATTTTAGTCAAGTCTGCGCAGTTTGCTTTCAGTCATGTTGAACTTAACTTCGGTTAAGAAATAACCTCAAGTACTAACTAAAAATAGCTATGAGGTTAGCCGGTGCTAGGATATATATGTCCTAGTATTTGAGTGTTACACATAACATTCAATACCCTCTCATGCATAAACTTCCCGTGGATGTAGATATGTGTGGTGAACCACGTTAGGTCTTGGTGTCTCCTGTTTAATGTTTTTTTCTAATAAAACACTTGCTTTGAGAGCGGCAAATGAGTAGGTTTTGCAAATCATAGATGTCCCGCGCGTATAGCGAAGTTTGAGCCTACGACCAGACTTGAACCGGAGGCGCTCAAGGCGGCCATAACTTATGTAGTTGTCAAGGGTCCTAACAATATCATATGCCTTGAGGAAATGGATCATATTTGCGGGAGATCCATCATGTTTGCGGTGGAACCTCACTTGGTTGTTATGTGTTTATGATTCTAGATTAATGCTAACAAATCATTGAACTACACTTGTTCATTATTATCAATACATCATATAAATAAGCTGGGATCATTTGAAAGAAGTCACTTTTATTTTTCAAATATAAAAAAGTTGCAAGATAAAAGAAATTGAAAGTAATTTTTATAACTTTAAATCTGAAATATTTGATACATTAAGTAAAATTATAGTCTACTTGATGAGGAGAAAGAAAATTTTACGTTGTGTCTTTGGGCTAAAATGATTTGTTTATGATGTAAAAGCACTTTGTAATTCATGATATCCTATATTCACATACTTAGAATAACTTCAAAATATATAATTATTTCAAAAATACATCAGAAAGATTAGAAGGGTGACGAGAATGATAGACAATAATACTATAGGAATGTCATCTCCATGACATAAACATAATTCTTGAAGTAAAATTGGAAGAGTTGTATATCTTTGTGCTACATCTCCTGTCACATACTTGGAATTTCATGTGTTGTGATGTTATCACAAATGCTCAGGACTTTCAAATACCCGGATACAATTTGCACTCCAAAGATATAAAATTCATCCATGGATGTCATATATTACTCTGAAAGCTATTATTGAATAGTGATGAGCTAAGACTACTAAGCTTTACGCTTTAACACCTTGGATTTCAACATCTACAAATGAATCACATATATGTGTAATCAATCCTTCATTCATGGTTAAGTATGTTTGTCTTCAAAGTCTTCGTAAAATCAAGTGTAGGAGCTTGGACTATGTTTCCAATCCAAAATATCCTCGGTAATACTCATTTCGTTGTTATATATGAGCGTAGAAGTGGGTTTAGATCAAATCCTAAGTTGGTGGATAATGTGTTAAAGGTTGGATATGGCCAAAACAAGTCTATGTTCGCATATAAGATGCATGTGACGTCAACACAAGCCGCTGAATATACCTATGATGAGCAGATAGGGAAGCATTTGATGCGAACTATCCTGCATCCAAAGCAATGAAAACCATCATCCACCTTTAGATAAAATCTGCATAAACAAAGTTGGATTCTACACATCGTTGTGCATGTCCCTCATACTATATGACAAATGTGTCATCCAACGGTCTGGCGATGAAGTGGGACAGGATGGATCAAGGGTGCTGTTAGTTAACTTCATCCTTTAACCTTATTCCCTTCTTTCCATCCATGTTCGCTACTGGGGTGCATGCATATTCCTGATCATTCCAGGTTCATAATGCAATGCACAACAGGTTGCGATCTAAGTCAACTTGTCACCATGCATTCATGTAGTGAGGACCGTATGTCACCGGTATAGTCTGATCTCTTCTCGTACAGTACTCCGAAATACAGATGCAGAAGGGCTACTTTAAGAATATATAGCCACTATCTTCACCAGGTATGTATAACTCACATATTATTATGAAATTCTGTCATTATTTCAGTTATTGGTTTTTTACGTTTAATGGTGACGTATGTAGAATAATGTTCGGCACATTCTATAATCAGCTAAATAAATTCGTAAATGTGTGCACAGTGTATACAAGAACGTGTCGGCAGATAATTTGTAGAAGAGAAGTCAATTCAAACGTCGAATTTGCTCATGAGGAAGTGTGCTTACCACTAGACAAGTAAACCTAACTTAACTTTGATGATAATTTGTTGTGATTTTCTATAGAAATGTTGAACCGAATCCAAGTATAATGAAAGATATGTACTTCAAAACTGGGATAGAATCTTCGGACGCTTAATCGCAACGTGTGAAGAGTATGCTTCCTATAAATCTGAAGAATTGGTACTGTATGCACTGCTCTGCTGGAGAATCTTCCGGTGCACCTTTTATTTCAAGTATATTGAAATTATTCCACTTGAGTTGCATAAATATTTCAAAAATAAAAAGAATTTTTTTTTGAAGAATTTTTCGAAGAGATTAAAAAATAATTTCAAACCTTTATTGATAGAAAGTGATTCACATTATTTTATTGTGTTTTACACTATATATGTCAGCTATTAAATCTAGAAGTCAGAACGTTGTAATAGACTTTCATGATATTCAATCTATCATTCAATAACATTTACTTATTTACAATCGTTCAAAAGAAAATCTGAATAATTTTGGTTATTCTCTATATTAAAATAGAAGAATAATTTTTGGTTTCAAATTATCATATTGTGATTGAAATTTTAAAATATTATTATATAAGTCAGATTCTTTGACTTAATCTAGTTTTAAAATTTTGCAAGAAAAATCTGGAGTAAAGGAAGTGATATTTTGTCAAAGAATTACGCTTACAAGTAATAATTAACCAATTCAATGTTTTTTGAAAACTTTACAAATAGAAAGAAATCTGTATGTATATTGGTACTTTTGTTAGCTGCAATTGATAGTCGTATTATGGCTGTTTAGAACAAGCAAATCAAATACAAAGTTCTTCTAGTGTGCATAATGTAAATGTAAAATAAGTTATAATTGG